TATACGTAATTTCAAAAAAAAAAAAAAAAGAAAGAAATATCGGCATGGAATGTAAGCTTGAGGAGGATTACAAACGCCGGGCACTGCCATCCTCAGCCACGAGGTCCGCACCACGCGCACCCTCCTGGGGGCGGGGCCTGCGCGGGATGGGCGTGTCGGGGCGGGGCCTGCGCGCTAGCTTCCGGCGTGCCGCGCGGGGCGGGGCCTGTGGGGAGGCGCGGAGGAGGCGCGGCCGCCGCGGGACGTCTGGCAGGGCCCGCACCGGAGAGGCGTCTCGGCAGCTGGTGGTCGGCCTGCTACTCCGAGCCTGCGGCGGGGCGGCGGCGGTATGCACGTGTGAGATGCGGACGCGGGCGGCGCGGACGCGAACAGCGGCGGCGGCGGCGAGCGCGGCCTCTTGGGCGCGGGACGCGCGGTGCCTGAGGGCGGGCGCGTGGGCGCTGGGCAGCCGCCGACCGCGCCGCCTGCGCAGGCGCTGGTTCAGGACTCACTCGCCTAGCTGAGGCCCGCGGGCCCGTCATGGAGGCGCCCACCGTGGAGACGCCCTCCGACCCTGCGCCCCCCTCGGCCTCGGCCTCGGCCCCGGCCCCGGCCCCGGCCCCGGCCCCAGCCCCAGCCCCAGCCCCGGCCCCGGTTCCGCTGCGCGCCCCGGACGTGGCGCGGCTGCGCGAGGAGCAGGAAAAGGTAACTGGCAGCCCCGCGCCGCTTCCGCCTCCGCCCGCCGGGCCGCCCCTGCCTGTGCTCAGGGCCGCGGCCCCGCGTGGCCTGGGCCCAACCGCTCGGGTTCCCGGAGGAAACCGGGAGAAACTTTTGTCACGTGCTTCTGTTGTCTTTGTCTGCAGCCCTTTGACCTGGCAGCGGAGGGAGGGGTGTGGAGCCCATTCGCCTGCCCCGGAAAGGGGGCTTCAGAGCTGAAGGCGTGCAAAAGCGTGTGGGAATTTGGGGGCGGGGGCAGCACGCTGTCAACGGAAGCGTTCACCTTAATTTTTGTAGCTTGTAATGACCTAAACATTGCTTAAAATGTATACTGTTTTGCTCCTTATTTGTTTGCACGGAAAAGTTTTACTACCTTTGTCATGTTAATGCTTCCTGTGCAATATTTGGTTATTTAGTATTTATGACAATATAATGTCATTTAAACAAAATAGAGACATTCTCACTATGTTGCCCAGGCTGATCTAAAACTTCTGGCCTCAAGCGATCCTCCCCGCCCTGCCTCCCAAACTGTTGGGATTACAGGCGTGAGTCACCGGACCTGGCTCATTTTTACACATTTTAATTTCATCGTGTAATAAATGAATTTTAAACTACTGTTGAAGAGGGTACCGAGTCTGGTATTTCCTGGTGGGACTTTACATAAAGAAGTGTTTCCAATTTAAGAAACAGTTTTATTGTTAAATCCGAGTTTTCTGTGGATTCTGTGGTCTTTCAGATTGATTGTCCGCTGAAGTGTCTTGAAATTCTTACTTATAAAAGCAGTATTTAATTTGCTTAAAATACTTTATGTCATCATTTATGGAAGAGCATCATGGGCTATAAAGGGTTAGTAAGTTGCTTCAACATCACAAGCACGGTAAAAATTCTTAACTTTTTAATTGAACATTTCCTGTATAAGAACGACTGTTTACATAGGTATAAAAATATACACAGTTCAACTAGATGAGGGTTTTGATAGAACTTAAAAAACCCCCGTTTGCTTGGAAACCACTTGTTGGGATGAACTGCGGGAATCTTTCTTACTTTGTTCTGGTTGGTTTATTTTGGGTTGGATTTTCATTTCTCAGTCACTTTTCTCTAATAACGCAACTGTTGGGTTTGGAAGCCTATTTTCAAAATGACAGTTTAAAAATCCAGTGGTCAGCGAGGTGACCCACACTTGTCATTCCAGCTGTTTGGAATGTTAAGGTCGTCGAATCACTTGAGGCCAAGGAGTTCGAGACCAGCCTGGGCAACATAGGGAGACCCGGATATACAAAAGAAAAAAGCCCAAAAAATTAGCCAGGCATGGTGGTGCACACCTGTAGTCTCATGTACTTGGGAGGCTCAGGTGGGAGGATCACTTGAGCTTAGGAGTTTGAGGCTGCAGTGGGCCGGAGTGAGACCCTGTCATTAAAAAAAAAAAAAAAAAAAAAAAAAAAAAAAAAAAAAAAAAATTAAAATTAAAAGTTAATTAGTTTGGCATCTTTAAATTATAAGACATTAATGCATTTTTTTTTTTAAGATAAAAATAGAAAGAGAAGAAAGATAAAACAGCCCCTTATAAAGTCTTACTCCTTTGGGCAAAACTTGGTATTTTTTATTCTTTCAGAGAATGTGACACAGACCCTCAGAGGATGATGTTTCTGTTGCTTCTCATCTACTGCAGTTCGTTAATTTCACCTCCTGCTGACTTGATATATTTTCTGCCATTTGGCATGTTAAAAATATATCCTTAGTTTTATTCTGATGTTAGTGTGACTGAAATGCAAAGGATACTTTTTGGGGTGCTCTGAACAGCTTTCTGGTACCGTATTGAGTTACAGTGGAAGAGAGTAACTGCTTTTTCAGTTAGAGTCTTGTGGGAAACTGAATGTTTCCTGTAGACATTGTGCTATCAAATTATTTTTCTGTGTTTTAATGTTAATTCGGCACACTAAATAGCCACGTGTATATCTGTCGTGGGTGTGTAAAATTATCCCCAGTTCAGGAAAAAGTGTGTCAGTCTTTAATCTATCTTTAATAGAAGCATCTGCTTCAGTGGACAGGAGACCCCACAAGGCCACAAAATAAACTGGTTAGTTGGCTGCACTGTAATTATGATGTAGTACAGGAAAACTACCCAGTAAATAGGCAGTGAAATTTTTTTTGTGAAGTACCTTATTTAGGCTTTAAAGCCAGCCCAGTTGTGGGAGTACCGGGAGTTCTACTAAAGGAGAAGCATCGTGACATCCTGAGTGTAGAAGGGGAAAATGTCATTTACGTGTGGCACTTGGTATTCCTTTATGTAAGTTGAATCAAACATGCTTTTAAGCTCTTGGCCTTTCCTACCTGGGTTTCATGAGACAGAGTTAAATTCTGCAGAAAATGATTTGAATGCCTATTCTCAGTTTCCCCTGGGAGGATACTATCTAGTTGGCTTTAGATGGAGAGAGAGAAATGAGTTCCTTACATACTGTGGGTGCCTTAGGCTTAGAGCATAATCTTCTCTGGGAGTCTTAATTGAGAGGGGCTGGTAGGTAATGTGGCTTAAATGTTGCTCATTAGTTTTGTTCTTGCTTGTTTTCCAAATTCAGCTAAGGAGTATAACAAGTTTTACCCTGTTTTCTTTATTGTATAGTCTCTGGAACATGGAATAAAAAGGAAAAAAAATTGGCAACCTGAGGAGGAGGACAGACAAGGGGCCTGAACAAGACACGACCTCTAAGTGACAGCATCTGTAGTTGGTGGCTGGGAGCACAAGTTTTAACATTGCTTTCACTTACAGAGTCAGTGATGAAGCATATCCAAAACAGTTTGTTTTAGTTAAAATTTTGGTTTGTTTCTGTTTTGATCTAGCAAAAAACATGTAAGAAACATTCCTTGCGGTTTTGTTCTTAATAGAAAAACTAAAAAATCCAACATTAGGGGATTGGTTAAATAAATCAGGAGCTATTATGTAGGGATTGAAAACTAGGACAGTGTGTATAGCGTGGTTCCAGTTATGTTTATGTAAATATTTACACATTTTATATAGGAAAACACCATTGTTTTAAAATACACAATTTTATTATTTTACTTAAAAGTTTGTAAAATTGGATGGGACTTTTTTTTTCCCTCAAAAAAACTATTGATAAAACTTACTTTTAATTTTAACAAAAATTTGAATGTTATTTTAATTGCAGAACACTTTCTGAGCCTGAAAAATGGCTCTTGGCTAGTTTGAACACCAGTTAGGCAGGTTTATTTCTTGGTTACTTCAGAGCTGATATATGTAATTTATTCAAACAACCATCTCTCCTTCCCCCCCCAAAGGTTTTATTTAATCTTCATTTGTTACAAGATACAGGGAGAGGAGAGAAATTCAGATCATCGCCTTTTTTTCCCTTCCTTTTAACTAAATCTGTTTTTACTAACAGCACTAAAATATTTGTTGGAAAAATGGAAGCTTAACCTGTCTAGACTGTGACCTATGCAATAAAATGTATGGTCCAGGACTACTGGTGTGGAGTGTCTTGGGCTGTTTAGGGAGATTTCCTTGTACTTGTACTTCCTAAGATCTTGCTAAATCTGGTTTTAGGAATTGCATTATATTGAAATTTTGGTTTCTTGGCTAAGGTGATGTTTCTGAGATACTTGTATTTTTTATCTCTAGATACTATTAGCTTTTATTAGCAGAACTACTGAGATTTTATTGTAATATTTTAAAAAGTAGTATATCCAGTATTGTTTTTATAGGCTTATTTGCAGGATAATAGTAAGATTAGAAAATTCATTAGGATAATATATTTATTATTGAGTGCCTCATGTAATTCTCACTTGGAATTTTGGAATAGCTTATACTTCCTGATACAGAGCCATGGGGAATTAAATGCATTAAGAGTAAATATTTTAAATTTTTTATAAAGCAGAACAGCTAATTTAACTTAATGGAGGGTTTTCATATTTCTTGTGATAAACTAAACTGCACATAGTTTAAGGAACTGTCAGCCACGTAGGCCATGTAACAGCTATTCTTTCCAAGCCTAGAATCCATGCCATTGAATTTATGCAACAAATATTTAATGAATATCTACTACATGCCAGACATGTTCTGCTGAGTGTGCAGTAATAAACAAAATACAGAAAGTCCTTGCTTTTATGGTTACACTCTCAGGGTAAAGGCATGCGGTTACGTAGCCATACCATTGGTGCTTGGTAGGTAAGGCTAAGTAGAAAAAACAGGAAGGTAAGAGGCCTGTAGAGAATGTGGGATGTGAGAGGAGGGATGGCTTCTTCTGTAAGCCGTCAGAGAGGGCTTCTCCGTTAGGTTTCATTTGAGCAGAAACTCGAAATAAGTGAGGAGTGAGCTATGTGGATATATGGAGGATATTTTGGAGAAGAGCTTTCTAGCCAGCATTAGAGTAGTACCAGATCATCGTAAGTTTTGGTTTTTATGTTTGTGTGATGGAAAACCATTGGAATGTGTTTTGAGGGTGATCTTAAATTATATCAATTTGTCATGCGTATGTGAAGAAATGGACAGATGGAATTACATTATAGGGAGCAATTCTGTGTGTGCCACGCATTGTGATTGATGTTTACAGATTCGATCTTAGAATTTTCATTAATGCCATTTATTTTTCAGATGCACAGTTTGGGTGGTTTCTAGTTTTTGCCTAGAACTTTCTCATGGAGCATTTGTGTCTTCAGTTGCACTTAAAATGCGTTTTCTAAGGTGGACCTTGGTAGCAGTGGACAGAAGTTCTCCCTACTTCAGTCTTTACCACCATGTGTTTTTTCATATATGCTGGCCATTCTTGTGATGAATAATGAGGTTGATGACCTTTTCAAATGTTTATTGGCTACTCGGATTTTTGTGGGTTTGTGTGTGTGTGTGTGTGTGTGTGTGTGTGTGTGTGTGTGTGTGAAATACCTGCTTATCTTTTATCTATTTTCTATGGGGTTGTTATATTCTAATTGATTCATAGCAGTGACTGCCTTTCCAATTATTGTAAGTTGCTTCCTTA